AGCAGGACAGGCACAGAGGCAGAGCAGGGGCTGGCCAGGACGGCTGCTCAGGTGCAGGGCTGTGCTCACAGCAGGGCTCAGCCCTTTCCTGGGCAACTCACACTTCTGCTCCTCCTCTGGCACGATCCTGTAGACCTTGTAGGGCTCGGAGATGTCCAGCTGGGACCTGTCTGTCACCTCCTCAAAGTCGGGGCTCTTGTTCAGGGCGCAGCGAAGCCGCGTCTTCCACGTGGCGGGCTCCGCTTTGTCACCTTCCTTGAACTTGCCTTTGAAAACAGCCCAAGCCTAAAGCAAAGAATGAATTAAAAACCCCTCAGAAAATCCTCCCTGTGAGCCCTACAAAGCCTCTCAGGGAGGAAGAGCTGGGGTGGCACATTTTGCATCTTGCACCCCTTCTCTCAAGCATCTCTTGGGGATTTGCTGTTTCACTCCTAGACTGCACAGCCACCACACCTGGGGGGGTTTGGGGTGCAGAGCAGCACTGCCTGCCTCACAAATGCAAAAAAGGCTTTTAAAAGCCAGTTTTTTCAAAAAGCAGAGGTCAAAATCATCACCTGTGGCTTCACTTCTGCACCTACGGGTCAGGAGATGCTGGGAGCACAAGGAATCTCTGCTCAATTAAAAATCAAAATAAGCCTTATTTTTCAGCTCCTCGCTGATACCTTAATAAATAAATAAATTGGTTTTCCAAGATCAGAACTTAATTTGTGCTTTTGGTAGGAGAACGTATTTTACCCCAGAAGGAAGAATGAAAAATGTCACATATTTTTTAAAATATACATATTGATTTATTTTATAGATATTTCTGTATTTTTAGAGGGCTGAGTTCAAGATTACCCTCATAACTCAGTGCTCCCAAACCATTCAGTAATTTCTTACTGAAATTAACTCTTTCACTAGTACAGATACTTGGAAGTGGGGTCAGAGGGAAGGGAATTCCTGGAGAAGACCTGAACTTTTTGCTTCAGGATAGAATTTTCCCATTTTTTCCAAAACTGGAAACCCCCTCCTTCAGTGAAATCCTTCCTTCCCATCTACAAAATCTTTTTTGTTTTTTTAATATAAATCCAGCATTCTATCAAGAGAAGCTGATGAGAAGTTTAGAGCAGGTCAAAAGATGCTTCTGACGTCACACCTGGATTCAAACAGGACAAAAACAAGCCTAAAACTGGTCCTAATTTTTGATAAAAAGGACTAAATCAAGAAAAACTGATGAGAAGTTTAGAGCAGGTCAAAAGCCGCTTCTCACGTTACACCTGTATTCAAACATGTTGAAAACAAACCTAAAACTGGTCCTAATTTTTGATAAAAATTAATAAATCATCAAGAGCTGCTGATGAGAAGTTTAGAGCAGGTCAAAAGATGCTTCTCAAGTGAAACCTGGATTCAAACATGCTGAAAACAAACCTAAAACCAGTCCTAACTTTGGATAAAAAGGAATAAATCATCAAGGGCAGCTGATGAGAAGTTTAGAGCAGGACAAAAGCTGCTCCTCACGTTACACCTGTATTCAAACATGCTGAAAACAAACCTAAAATTAGTCCTAACTTTGGATAAAAATGAATAAATCATCAAGGGCAGCTGATGAGAAGTTTAGAGCAGGTCAAAAGCCGTTCCTCACATCACACCTGGATTCAAACAGGATGAATCCAGTTTGAATCCTGAACCTAGAACCGGTCCTAATTTTTTGATAAAAATTAATAAATCACCAAGAGCAGCTGACGAGAAGTTTAGAGCAGGTCAAAAGCCGCTTCTCAGGACACAGAAGAAAACCTAAAACTGGTCCTAATTTTTGATAAAAAGAAATAAATAATCCCAAAAAAAAACCCAAAGAAAACCACCCTACCTTGAAGATAGAAGCATCCACCTCCTGGTTGTAGTCCTGCTTGCCAGCGTGCTTCCAGGGGATGCGGAACATGGATTTCTCCTCGTTCTCCCAGACCAGCCCCGCGTAGAGCTCGCTGTCGATCTGCTCGATCAGCCACTGCCGCAGCCGCCGCCCGCCGTTGCGGTCACACATCCTGCAGGGACAGGGGTGCATGCAAACCCTTCCCATTTCCATCCCAGCACAGCTTTTGGGATGGTTTTCCCCCAGCTCGGTTGGCACCTGCAGCTTTTGGAAGCCCCCCACGCCAATGTCTGCCCGTGGAATGAGATTGTCTTTAACGCCCCTTCCAGCCCAAACCCTTCTGGGAGCCCACACTTCCATAATTCTAAGATCAAAACATCCCCAGCCCACATCTCCACCCCACCCCTTGCTTCTTTTCAAATTAAATTTAAAAAATCAAGGCAATTTCCTTCTGAGTTACTACAAACTCTACCGAAGTTCCGCCCCCAGAAGCGGCTGACTCAGTGCTCTGCTCATTCCTATTTTGCTGCAGGATAAATCACAGAGGAAGCAGAGGGATGGGGATTCAAGCCCCCAGCTGTGCTGTCACCTGAGCAAGTGACACTGGGCAGGCCATGCTGGGGGACCAGAGCTGTCCCTGGCTGCTCTTGGCACAAGGATTTGTCCCGGAGGGGGCAGCAGCTCCTCTCACCAAGCACTATTTGGGGAGCAAATGCCAGCTCCAAACTGCATCCCAAACCCTCACAGGGACAAGGAAGGAACACAAAGTGCCAGGCTCAACCCTCCCTGTCACCTCCATGCCACGACAGAAGTGATCAGCAGCTCCTGAATCAACTTCCCAGGCATTTTGGGCTCTACATTTTACAGGACTGCCTCTCCCTCGTTCGTTTGTTATTTACTGCCCCACGGGAAGAATTTTGGGTGGAAAACAAGGATGCTCCCAGCACAGCCTGAGAGCCAGCGGTGCCTGCTTTGCCATGGGCTGCCACCAGCTCAGGGCCACCAAATTCCATCCCTTCTAGGCGGCCCTTTCCGCCGCTCGCTGGCGGTGTCCTCTCACAGGGGATGCCGGTACAGGACGAGACCCTGCGGCCGGTCCCTGTCCTCCTCCGGGGGATGCCGATGCCGGTACCTGTCCCCCGGCTGGTCTCGGTGCCGGTCCCGGTACTTGTTCCCCGGCCGGTCCCTGCCTTGCCCCGGGGGATGCCGGTGCCGGTCCCTGTTCCTGCCCTCTCCCGGAGGATGGCGATGCCGGTCCCTGTCCCCCAGCCGGTTCCTGCCCTCCCCCGGAGGATGCCGGTACCTGTTCCCTGTTCCCCGGCCGCTCCCGATGCCGGTCCCTGTCCCCCAGCCGGTCCCTGCCTTCCCCCGGATGATGCCGGTCCCTGTTCCCTGTTCCCCAGGCGGTCCCTGCCCTCCCCGGAGGATGCCGGTACCTGTTCCCCGTTCCCCGGCCGGTCCCTGCCCTCCCCCGGAGGATGCCGGTACCTGTTCCCTGTTCCCCGGCCGGTCCCGGTACCTGTTCTCCGTTCCCCGGCCGGTCCCTGCCCTCCTCCGGGGGATGTCGGTACCTGTTCCCCGTTCCCCAGCCGGTCCCTGCTCTCCCCCGGAGGATGCCGGTACCTGTTCCCTGTCCCCCGGCCGGTCCCTGCCCTGCCCGGAGGATGCCGGTACCTGTTCCCCGTTCCCAGCCGCTCCCGGTTCCGTTCCCTTTCCGCGCTCCCGGTGCCGCGCCCGCAGTTTCCCCGCGCTCACGTTATATATCAGCGAATTATGCGGCCACGCCCACCACCACGCCCTCTCTAAGCTCCGCCAATCACCGGCTCCTCCCCTCTCCCGCCCTACCCAATGAGGAGGCGGGGCCGCGCGGAGCTGGCCAATGAGGAGCGTCCCGGCGGGGCGCGCGCCGCGGTTTCTCTTAAAGCGCGGCTTTCCCCGAAATCAGCTGACCCGGAGGGGGCGGGGCCGGGCGGGAGGGGGCGGGGCCTGGGCGGGAGGGGGCGGGGCCAACCCGCCCCTATCCCGGGTCTGTCCCGGGCCGGTCCCGAGTTAGTCCAGTCCCAGTTCCAGCCCAGTTCCCCAGTGCCAGAGCAGGGCCAGGGCCAGACTGACCCCTTACCAGTCCCAGGTCAGCCCAGTCCCACACCAGTTCCCCAGTCCCAGACCAGTTCCCCAGTCCCAGGTCAGCCCATCCCCATCTCAGATCAATTCCCCAGTCCCAGACCAATCCATCCCCAGCCCATGATCAATATATGCCCGAATAAATCTCCCCAGTTCCAGATCAATGTAGTTCCACACCAGTCTCCCAGTCCCAGACCAGTTTCCCACTCCCAGACCAGTTTCCCCAGTCCCAGACCAGTTTCCCCAGTCCCAAATCAGTTTCCCCAATCCCAGATCAGTTTTCCCAGTCTTAAATCAGTTTCCCCAGTCCCAGAAAAGTTTCCCCAGTCCCAGATCAGTTTTCCCAGTCTTAAATCAGTTTCCCCAATCCCAGATCAGTTTCCCAGTCCCAGATCAGTTTCCCCAGTCCCAAATCAGTTTCCCCAGTCCCAGACCAGTTTCCCCAGTCCCAGGTCATTCTATCCTCAACCCCAAATCAGCCTTTCCAGTCTCAGACCAGTGTCCCCAGGTCCAGCCCAGCCCATTCCCACTCCCAGGCCACTTTCCCCAGTCCCAGACTGGTCCATGCCCAATCCCAGTTTAGTCCAGGGAGTTCCCAGTTCCTTTCTGGATCAAGGCCAGTCCTGGATCATTCCCTCCCTGCCTGCCCAGCAGTTCCCAGTGTTCCCAGTACAGTTTGGTGTCCTGACTTTGCCCCAGCCCAGCCAAACCCAGCCAGACCCACCAGAGCATGAAGCCCCATCTGCAGCCTGACTTCAGAGGGGTTTTTTTGGGATTACCAGATTACACACACATTTCTTGGAAGAAAACCATAATTACTCCCACGTGGGTAATACAGAGAAATGGGAAATGGATGGAGCTGCACAGATGGTTTAATAAAAATAATGAGGTGCACAACCTTTCCTGTCATTTCTAATAAAGAAGGGCTGGAATGGGCCTTGTTTTTAAGTTTTTTAAGCACCCCACTGATCCTCATTGGATCCCCCCAAGGAGATTTGGAATGAGCCAAAAAACATCTTCTGCCATCAGATACAGCCAGGAGGATTCATGTTCTTTTTTGACCAAAAATACAATTTTGAGCTTTGCTTATTGGTGGGGCTTTGCATCACCACCTCCCCTTGCTAGACAGAGCCCCTCCTGTAAAAACCTCTTTGTTTTGTTAAAATTCTGGGAAATTTGTGATATTTTAAAGGGTCTGCACACAACCAAACTCTCCATCCCCTCTGGAAATCCACTGCAATGCAGCGAGGTGACTTCATCATCCCACCTTCAATTTGGCTCAGCAGCTTCAGAGGCAGCCTGGAAAGGTAAATCCAAATTCCCTGGGGCAAGGAGGATCCCTGTGGGGAGCATAAAAAATAACCCCATTAAAAGAAGGTTTCAGGCAATTGAAACAGGATGGGAGCAGAGCCTATTTCCCCATGCCAGAGGCACCAGGATTTTGGGAAGGCTGGTGTGGGACAGTGTTGTTTTGATTAAAAAAAAAAAAAATCTATATAAATTATTACAAAACTCAAAAAACTTTAAAAAAAATCTTAAAAATTCAAAACAACAGGGCAGCAGAGCCCAGCAGCCAAGCGTGAGGTGCTCTTGGCAATGGCCAAGAAGTGGAAATCCAGCCCAGTTTTACCTGTTTGGGGTTCGCCTCCCAGCTCCCAGAACTCCTAAAGCCACCTCAGGTCCTGCTGATGGAAGGCAGAGCAGAAAAATAGATATATTCAGCTGGGATAGCCCGGAAACCCTGGGAAATTCGGGTTAGGAGGGGATTTTTGCGCTTGGCTGTGGCTGTGATGTCAGGCACGGAGGGGGTGCTGCTCTGGGGAAGCATTCCCTGTGATTCCCCAAATCTGGGGGATTTTCCCAGCCCTGCCTTTGGTGCTGTGGTTCCCTGGGGGTGTTTGAAATGTTTGAAACCCGGGCTGTGGAGCTTATCACACCTCCAGCACATCTAATCTCTGCTTATCACCCATCTCCAATGACTTCCTATTAACTCCCGCTGTCTTCTCTTTTCTCTTCCTGCCTGCAAGTTCTATTTTTGCTGCTTCTTAAAATGAAAACAGAGGTTTTAAATCCAATATTGATCCCTGAGCTGATTGCTCAGCCTCCCTTCAGCCCTCTCCATCAATAGCCTCCATCTCATTAATTGCTTTCCCTTTTTACTTCCACGTGGAATAACAGCCACAGGGACCTTTTTCTCCATCTAAATAAATAAGGAAAAAACACTTTTTTTTTTCCCCTGAAATTCTATATCATGGCTAAATGTTGAATATTTAAATCTTTTCATCTTGCTGGTGGTTCTCATCAAGAAAATGGGAAGCAGGGTGGTTTTTTCAGTCCATCTCTGTGTTCCCACCAGGAACACCACAAATCAACTCCAGGCACCCTCAGGATTTAATAACTCTCTTTTTTATTAGGAGCTGGCTGAGTCACCCCTGGTGCTGTCACACCATGAGTACCCGAAAATCTTCATCAAGAGAATTCCTAGAAATGTTTTGAATCCCTTTTTTCTTAGAAGGAATTGCAGAGCAGAGATTTTTGAGTGGACAAACAGGGTAATTATAATAAAAGGCCGAAATGGCACGGAAGGGTTGAGGTTTTCCATGTGGAAGGGCTGAATCCACGGGATGGGACCCTCCTTGTAAGGCAGATGGGAGGAATTCCTGCCAAACAAAGCTCTGGAAAAGCACAATCCGAGTTTGGGATGAAAAACTGGACATGGCCACAGGGTTTAGGTATTAAAAAGGCTTTTGGAGAGGGACAGAGTTAAATTGGTCCGTGGGTTGAGTGAATCCAACCAAGCTTTTTTTGGTTTCTTTGGCAAGCAGGGACATTCAGATGGGGCTCAGGGGAAACACAAACCCACTCTGGCTCCAGGGATGGAGGCAGTGGGACAGGCACTGCTGGGTTTTCCCCCTCCCTGGGGCTGGGATAAGGAAAATGCCAGCTAAAAGGTAAATTTGGATTTACATTTCCTCTCATCCCTGGGGTTGGGATAAGGAAAATGCCAGTGAAAAGGTAAATTTGGATTTCCCTTTCCCCTTATCCCTTGGGGTTGGGATAAGGAAAATGCCAGCTAAAAGGTAAATTTGGAATTGCTTTTTCTCCCTTCCCTGGGGTTGGGATAAGGAAAATTCCAGCTAAAAGGTAAATTTGGAATTGCTTTTCCCCCCTCCCTGGGATTGGGATAAGGAAAATGCCAGCTAAAAGGTAAATTTGGATTTCCCTTTCCCCTTATTCCTGGGGTTGGGATAAGGAAAATGTCAGATATTCACCTGCCAAGGACATGCACAGCAAGGGGCAGCCCCAAAACACCTGCAGCCCCTCTCCCCATCCCACTGGGTGCCAGCTGAGGCTCAGAGCACCCCCAAATCCCGGGATTCACCCCTCCTTCCTCAGGGAAGCAGAGGACAAGGTGGATTCTCCATCTCCCACCTCGGATTGCACCCGTACCACACTTAATTATCACTTATATCAAACACTCAGAGCTTGTAATTCACCCTGTGAGATTGAAAACTCTTTTCCATGGGCAGAGATCACAGCCAGTGTCTCTGGGGGCTCTGTCCAGGGGGGTTCCTGTCCCCTGCCAGGGTCCCAGGGCAGCCCGAGGGAAGCTCTGGATTCCCACAGCTCAGCAGCTGCTGCAGCTCCTCCTGGTCCTGGAAGGGGTTCCTGCCATAATCCCGGCGGATCCAGGCGCGGTACTGCCGGGAAAAAAGGGAAAAGAGGATTTTGGGGTGACCTGGGCAGTGAGGGAGCCCAGAGAGAGAGCAGGGCTGTAGCAGCTCCAGGGGAAAGCAGGGAGCAAAGCAATTCCTGCTGCGTCCCCAGTCCCACAGGAGCTGGCACTCAGCACCCCACAGCTGCACTAGGGTCCCCCCATCCCAGCACTGCCCACATCCCAGCACAGAGCTGGCAGCACCCTCAGCTTCCCACCCCACCCTGGCCACAGCTGGCACAGCAGCTTTATTTATTCCTCCTGTCGGAATCTTTGGGTATTGGTGATTCCCAGATTGTAGAAAGTCTCTGTCTGTCAGCCCCGCTGCCAAAGCAGAAGCCATAATTGGTCTGTGCTGGTTTCAAGGTTGTTTATTCTGTTTATCTCTAACATGTTCTGCTGCCCTGCCGCAGCTCTGTCCTGCAGGGCAGCGTGTGGGGCTCTGCCCTCAGTGGGATGGTACAAACATTAAATACCACAAACTACCTGTGCTGGATTTACAATAACGTGCCAATATCTGTCACCTACGTTGGACAGTGTGTCCCCAGCCTGAACCAACAGAAAAATGCCAACACCACAGTGAAACATGGAGGGCATGAAGAAGGAGAAAAAGGACAAGGCACACCCAATTTCCTCCATCTTGTCCCCTTTGAACCCCTAATCTAGAAACCTAAAATTTTACCTTTGCACCCGTGTCACACTTAATTATTACTTATATCAAACACTCAGAGCTTGTAATTCATCCTGTAAGATTGAAAACTCTTTTCCATGGCCAGAGATCACAGACAGTGTCTCTGGGGGCTCTGTCCAGGGGGGTTTCTGACCCCTGCCAGGGTCCCAGAGCTGCCAGGGCAGCCAGAGGGATGCTCTGGATTCCCACACCTCCTTGCTGTTCCCCGTGTGCCTGAATTCCCCTAAGGAATGCTTCCCAAAGCTTTTTTTTATTATTATTATTTTTCCCCCCCACCACAAGCAGCACGGCCGAGTTGGTCCTTGCAAGGTGAGGCAGGTTTGCTGTCAGAACCCCTCGGGAGGTTGTGGGGAGCCTCTGACCCCACTGATCCCCATAATTCCTGGTGGCCAGGGGCCAGCTGGCAGCAGGCTGAGGGCTGGAAGCCAGGGATGATCCAGAGAAACCATTCCCGTTACTGCTGGGATGAGGAAACAGCCAGACAGTCCCAAATTGCAGCAGGGAGCAGCGTGGGCAGGAAGGGGCAGCTCTGCCAGGAGTCACCATTCCAGGTCCCAGGAGCTCTGCCATCCCCCTGAGGAGCTGGGATCCAGCTGCTCCAGCATGGAAATACTGGGATGGGACACAGGAGCACCCCCAGCAGCACCAAACACCCCCAGGGAAGGATGGAGAGTGCCTGTGGGTGCAAAGGGTGCGGAGAGGGAGCGGGAATTGGAGCCCTGGGATGGGGATGGGATGGGATGGGATGGGATGGGATGGGATGGGATGGGATGGGATGGGATGGGATGGGATGGGATGGGATGGGATGGGATGGGATGGGATGGGATGCAGCCAGGGGATCCAGAGGGAGAGGGAAGCAGCTCCCATGAGCTGCCCAACCTTGGCACCCCCAGGGTGAGGTGCCCTCGCTGTGGATTTGGGCTCCTGGATGGGCAGGAGCCACCCAGCTCCCAGAAAATTTTGGGATGCGGGGCAGCAGGATTGGCAGCTCAGCACTAAATCAGTCACAAGGGAAAAAATGTTTTAGACTGACCCTGGTGATATAATCCCCTCCTGCAGCCAGGGAAAATCAGCTGGGACAGGGGGGATTTCCACTGGGAATGTCTGGATTTCCCAACTCCACCCCCTCCCACAGCAGGGCTGTCACACGTGCAAGCAGGGACATCCCTGCCCAGGGCAGCCCTGTGAGCCAGACCCCTATTCCTTGAGGGAAAACACCCCTGGGAAGTGAGACCCACAAGGTTTGGGACAGGATTTGGGGCAAGACCCACACCAGGATCTCCTGGGGGACACATCACTTCTGTGCCAGCCGTGCAGAGGGATGGAGATCCGTGGGAAGGGTGCCCTGGCACCCAGCAGGGCTCAGCACCCAGCCTGGAGCTGGTGCCACCACCCAGGGAGGAGGGAAGGGCTGGCTGGGAGAGGGGGAAGCTGCCAGGCATTTCCTCCTAAAGCCAGAGCAAGAAGTGGTTCCAGCCCATTTCCTCCAGTGCTGAGCACCAGCCCACTGCCCTCCTCCTCCTCCTCCTCCTCCTCCTCCTCCTCCTCCTCCTCCTCCTCCTCCTCCTCTTCTCCCAGCCATTCGGGTCAAAGGCAGCCTGGCCATGGTGTGCCAGCACCGTGGGGGACAGCTCTGTCACCAGAGAGCCCATCTGTGCCCTCTGTGACACCCACACTGTGCCCACTGTGACACCCACACTGTGCCCACTGACTTCCTTTTCTAACCTTACCCCTCATCCTGCTGCTGCTCTCGGTCCCTTCCCTTCTTTCTCTGTCCCTCCAGCCCAGGGAAGCCCCAGTTGCCAGCTGGAAACCGCAGCTGCACGCTCCAGCAGCGGGGCTGGAGCTTCTTCCCCATCCCTTCCTCCCAGCTCAGCTCCCTGAGGTGAAGGAAACTGAGGCACCACAGCTTCAGGAGGTCCAAGGAGGTCCCCAGAAGGTCCAAGGAGGTCCCCAGAAGGTCCAAGGAGGTCCCCAGAAGGTCCAAGAAGGTCCAAGGAGATCCCCAGAAGGTCCAAGGAGGTCCCCAGAAGGTCCAAGAAGGTCCCCAGAAGGTCCAAGAAGGTCCAAGGAGGTCCCCAGAAGGTCCAAGAAGGTCCAAGGAAATCCCCAGAAGGTCCAAGGAGGTCCCCAGAAGGTCCAAGGAGGTCCCCAGAAGGTCCAAGAAGGTCCAAGGAGATCCCCAGAAGGTCCAAGGAGGTCCCCAGAAGGTCCAAGAAGGTCCAAGGAGATCCCCAGAAGGTCCAAGAAGGTCCCCAGAAGGTCCAAGAAGGTCCAAGGAGCTCCCCAGAAGGTCCAAGAAGGTCCCCAGAAGGTCCAAGAAGGTCCAGGGAGATCCCCAGAAGGTCCAAGGAGCTCCCCAGAAGGTCCAAGGAGGTCCCCAGAAGGTCCAAGGAGGTCCCCAGAAGGTCCAAGGAGGTCCCCAGAAGGTCCAAGCTGTTCCTCACAAGTTTCACCACCAAGGATTGAGGCTTCCCACCCACGAGGGCCATTCTCTGGCCAGTGCTGACATCACAGGGAACACGGGTGGGAGTTTCAGGGAAAAAGCAACTCTTGCTAAATCCCAGGGACAGGAAAACACATCCCAGCACCTCCACCCTCAGCTGTGCCTTGGCTGGCTCAGGGAAAGGATTGCAAAGCCACTGGCAAAATCTGTGAGGTGATGGAAAAGCAGTTCTGAGGGAAAGGGAGGAAATTGTGGCATCCATTGAGCCCAGCGTGGATTTTGGGAGCAGGAGGAATGGGTGGGGTGGAGGGAGGGCACAGCAAAGCCCAGAGCAGGGGAAGGGCTGGGGAGAGCTGGGAATCTCCAGCCCCACGGGTGTTTTTGTCACCCCCGGGAGCGTTTTCCAGCCTCCTCCAGGGGCGGTTCTGGTGACAACGGGGCAGAGCCACATCCCTCATGTGACAGCACCCGGGGAAGGGAACTTGGCACTGGGGATGGGGCTGGCCTTGGGGACAGTGTCACGGGCTGTCCCCGCTGGCTGTGCCAGGACAGGAGTCCCCCCAAAGGTCCCGTTTGCCGCGGGGACATCACGCGGTGGCTGCAGGACACGGGGGGCTCTGCCTGTGGGGGTGGCAGCGGGTTTAGGGGTGACAGGAGCTGTGACAACCCTCACACACATCTTGTCCAGGGTTTCCCTCTCCTTGCAGAGGTGTCTGTGCCCCATGGGAAGTTTGGGAGACCAGGGATGGGTGGAGGAGCAGAGGCCGGAGTGGGAGGCTGGAGAGCCAGGTGGGAGCTGTGCTTTTAAAAGCCTTTTTATTTGCTTTTTAAGGTCTTTCTCTTTGCCTTTCAAGGCCTTTCCCTCAGCTTCCAAAGGTTTTCCAGGTCGAAAGTGCAGCTCTGAGCTCTGCACCAAGTGCTCTCCTGTGGTTTCCCCCTTCACGCTGCCCCCGATTAATCCAACTAGCTCAGAGATAAGGGGCTGTGAGGGGAGGAATACCAGGAGAGGGGAAAAATATTTAAAAGAGGCTCTCACCCCAGGAGAACTTGATGCAGCTCTCTTTATTCTGTGATGTCCTTGTGGAGAGAGGGGCAAAAGAGAACGAACAGGAAATATCAGGGGTCTATAGGTTTGGACAGGGTGGGTTTTCCTGGCTCTCCGTTGGGGTAGGAAGGAGGATCCAGGGTTATCTTGATCAGAGTCACAGGTGGTGAGGGAATGGGAGATTTCTCCACCCACACCTGCTCCTGCCTCTGGGAGCAGGGCACTGGCAGATCCCAGCGTGCCCAGACATCCCGAAACTCCTCAGAAAAGCCTTCCTCCCTCTCCGTGCTGCATTCCCGGGAATTGGCCCAGCTCCTTCCCGGGGTTCCCAAGGGCCAAACTGCTCTCCCATCCCTCCCGCTGCATCCCAGCTCGAGAAAAGAAGTTCAGGGTTTTTCAGACCTTTTTAAATCTTACTCACGCAACATCAAAGCGATTTTTGGTTTTTTTTAATTCCTTTTCATTTTTGCACCCAAATCCTCAGCTGCTAAACAACGCTCCCCAAATCCCACTGGGGCAAACAGAGAGCTGCATGCAGAGGAGCCGTGCCTGGTTGCAAACCCCTCCAACGAGGGTGTTGGAATTTGTAGGTATTGGTGATTTTGAGATTGTATAAAGTTTTTGTTTTTTTGTCTTGTTGCTAAAGAAGAAGTCATAATTTGTTTGTGCTGTTTTTAAGGTTGTTTATTTTTGCTTATTTATAACATGTTCTGCTGCCCTGCCGTAGGTTTGTTTTGCAGGGCAGCATGTGGGGCTCTGCCCTCAGTGGGATGTTATAAATATTATATATTAGAAACTATGTGTGCTGTATTTACAATAATGTGCTAATATCTATTATCTATGTTGAACAGTGTGTCTCTAGCTTAAACCAACAGAAAAATGCCAACACCACAGTGAAACATGGAGGGCATGAAGAAGGAGAAAAAGGACAAGACACACCCAATTTCCTCCATCTTGTCCCCTTTGGACCCCTAATCTAGAATCCTAAAATTTTACTTTTGCACCAGTGCCACAATTACTTATTACTCATATCAAACACTCAGAGCTTGTAATTCATCCTATAAAATTAAAAACTCTTTTCTATGAACAGAGATCAGAGATCCTAGGCCCTCCAGGGCAGCTAAAGGGAAGCCCTGGATTCCCACATGGGGGACCTTACCTGGGGGAGCAGGGTGCTCTGGTACTCCTGCAGCTGCTGCTGGAAGCTGGAGTTGGGGCAGGCGTAGGAGCGCAAGGCCCTGGTGGCAGCGAGGCAGCTCTGCCAGCCCAGCTCTGTCACTGTCATGAGGTATGCCACCAGCACCGTGCTGCTGCGGGACACCCCGGCCAGGCTGGGTGCCAGAGGAGGGGCATCAGGGAGGGCATCCCGCAGGAATCACCCCTGGGATGAAGATTCCCTCGCTGGGGTGTGAGCAGAGGGAAGAAGGGGTCACCTCCCTGTGCCCTCCTCAAGCCTGTCCCACATCCTGGATGCTCGGGTGGGCAGTGCAAGGAGCCCATCCCTGAGGATCCCAGTCCTTCCCATGGCCCTCCTTGCTGCTCTGTGCCTCCTCCTCTCCATCCTCCCCCTCCCCATTGATGCTCAACGCCAAGGACAATTTTTGGGAGGCCATGCCTGATGCCTCAGGTTTGGATTTTCTATTTTTCAGATTCTGTGCTGCTTTAGTGTGTGGGTCTGGGCTTCACATGAGGGGATGCTGAGCTCTCTGCACAGAGCAGGAGACAAAACAATTCCTGCTCCAGCTGGGCACCAAGGACAAATGACCCAAATCTCAGCCCAGGAGCACAAACACCGTGGGCTGGAGAGAGAAAAACAAGCAGGGTGGGACTGCCTGGGCTAAAGCTGGAATGGGACAATGAACTCCAAGGTGCCAATGGAGCAGAACTGATCCCAGGGAGAGCCCCCGGGAGCGCTCGTGCATTTTGGGGGCATTTTGGCTCATCTTGGGTTCATTTTGGGATCATTTTGGTTCACCTTGGGTTCATTTTGGGACAATTTTGGTTCACCTTGGGTTCATTTTGGGACCATTTTGGTTCACCTTGGGTTCATTTTGGGACCATTTTGGTTCATCTTGGGTGCATTTCAGGACCATTTTGGTTCACCTTGGGTTAATTTTGGGACCATTTTGGTTCACCTTGGGTTCATTTCGGGACCATTTTGGTTCATTTTGAAATGAACCTCTTGCTGGAGATACCCAAAATGAACCATTTCAAAATGGTCATTTTGGGTACCTCCAGCAAGAGCCTGGCTGGGCTCTGGTGCTGCCCAAGGTGGATCCATGGAGGAGATCCTTTCATAAATCCCTGTTTTATTCTGTAACTCTGCCCAGCTCTCCTTCCCAAGGCCTCACCCCCAGCTCCCAGGGGACGGGTGGGTGTGAGGGTCTCTGCAGCTCTCACCAGTGCACCAGGCAGGCTCCCCCTCCCAGCCGGCACTCGTGGATGAACTGGATGCACTCCTTGAAATGCTGCAGCCTGCAGGGAGACAGGCACAGGTGAGGAGGGAAGGGCACGCCGAGCCCCGCAGCAGTTTTGGGGCAGAAAATCTGCTTTTGGCCACTTGTCCTCCCTGGCCACCCAGCCCTGGGTTTTCCAGGAGGAGAAGTGTTGGAACCCTGCTTATTGAGAATTTTGGACTTTTTGTACTAACAGGCACTGACCCCCAAGAGAACACTACCTAAAACCACAGAAAAAGCTTCCAAAATTAAATACTAAAACTAAAACAATGAGTCTGTATTTTAAATAAAAGGATGTAATATCACCTAGTAGAAAGTTAAAGTTTAAGGTTTTAGAATGTAGTAATATATATTGTAAAACAAAACTTTTTAAAATATTTTTTATATTATATACATTTTTTATATTTATATATATAAATATATATTTGTAAAACAAAATAGAAGTTTTAAAACAAAAACTAGTCCTTCTTCTTCATAAGTTTAAGTAGTATTGTATAATTAAATTAAGAAATCCACATCACAAGCCACAAGTATTAAGTTAAAATTAGTTATTAAGTTAAAAACAGTTATAAAATAGTTAAGTTAAAAATAAAAATAATTTAAGTATCATTTCTTAATGAAACAGTTTATCCTTAAGAAACCTTCTAAAAAAAGAGACACAACTCCATTTTTAACTTATTAAAACACTATCAAACTCACAATTTGTGAAATCGGAATGTAAATAAAATACAATCAACATCTAAATCCAAAGAGAAAAATACCATCTCACACATTTCATCCCAACTTTTACAAAAAAAAACCCCAAAAATCCAGAGAGAAGAGGGTCCCTTTGGCAGCACCTCTGCTGCGGTGCTGGACTTCCTCTGCTCCGCGTGACGGGGTGGGCGTGAGCCCACGGAGCCTTCCTGATTTCTCAGAAGCCAAGGCTTGACCTCCCACAGTTATTCCCACTGGGCCCTTGCCAAGGGAGCTGCTTTCCCCCTGGGAACTCTCCAGAACCTCCTCCATCACTGCTACCCCATGGAAAAGGCCGTTTGTTCCTCACCCTGCCCTGGGAGCGCCGGGCTCGGCGCTGTCCAAGGAGCCAAAAATGAGTTTATGCAGGAATTGCAGCGGTTCTGCTTCCCAGGAACAGGAGCAGAGATGAGGGAGTGTCTGACATCGTGATCGGGTTAAAAATAGTGAACCTCTCATTCCTGGGAGGAGATGTCAGCCCAAGGATCCTCCAGCAAATGGAGCATCAACATCTGGGAGGATTTTCCCTGCACAAAGTGACGCCTCAGGTTTTAGATTTTATATTTTTTTCAGATTCTGTGCTGCTTTAGAGTGCAGTTCTGAGCTTCATATCAGGGGATGGTGAGCTCTGTGCACAGAGCAGGAGACAAAACAATTCCTGCTCCAGCTGGGCACCAAGGACAAATGATCCAAACCTCAGCCCAGGAGCACAAACACCGTGGGCTGGAGAGAGAAAAACAAGCAGGATGGGACTGCCTGGGCTAAAGCTGGAATGGGACAATGAACTCCAAGGTGCCAATGGAGCAGAACTGATCCCAGGGAGAGCCCCCGGGAGCGCTCGTGCATTTTGGGACCATTTTGGTTCATTTTGGGTTCATTTCGGGACCATTTTGGTTCACCTTGGGTTCATTTTGGGACCATTTTGGTTCATTTGGGTGCAGCCCTGGCTGGGCTCTGGTGCTGCCCAAGGTGGATCCATGGAGGAGATCCTTTAATTAATCCCTGCTTTATTCTGTAACTCTGACCAGCCTCTGTTCTAGCTCAGCCTTCCCAAGGCATCACAATCATGTCCCAGAGGATTTTCCTGCTTGTCCTGCTGCTCTCCACAGAACAGACATCATCCCCCAGGGCCTGCAGGTGCTGCCCACTCAGCCCCAAACTCCAGTTCTCCCCTTCAGCCCCTCGGCAGGAGCAGCAGGAATGTTCTTTCCTTGCAAGGACACGATGCTCGTGCCTCCAGCCTGCATCCCTGTCCCAACCCACCCCAAAAGGAGTTTGACTCCCCCCATCCATCCCCACCCACTCCACGGGTTTTTTTCCCACAGGGAAAGCTCTGCCTGTGCTTTTCCAGCCTCCAAGAGTGGGATCAGGGAGTGGAATTAGTGCTGAGAGCTGCTGAGCTCCCGAATCACAAGCAGGATAACACAAAGTTCACCAGGATTGTGAAATCCAAGGCATAAACTGACGAGCAGAAAATAGTTTCTTGAATAACTCTTCCTTCCTGCCGGCAGCCTTATCTTCTTTTTTTTTCCTCCTCCTTTTCTGTCTTTTTTTTTTTTTTTTTTTGCCTTTCGTAGACATGCCACAAACGCAAAGAAATGAGCGAAGGGGGGAAAAAATAACAACCAAAAATCCCAGTTCTTGCTGAGGCAGGGTTTTCTTGTAAAGCTTCTCTTTCCGCTCAGCCAGAGCATGAGCAAGCAGGATTCCACCCCTGGGCACGGCTGCTCCCAAGGATGCTGGAAAATCCAGCACCTCCACAGGCAGGGCCTTGGAAATTAGGTTTTGATGCTTTTTAGGGTTTGATTGGAGAGAAAAATCCCATGGATTTGCCAATTTGCTGATGCAAATGGATAAATTTGGATAAATTATGGGTGCATGTCACCCAAAGCAGCAGCAGCATCCCACAAAATCCTGGGAATTCCTCCCAGCAGCTTCAACTCCACAACGGCATTCCAAGAGTTATGAGCATGGGTGCTTTATATGGCAAAAATCATTTATTACTTTAATAAATTTATCTTAAAAAAAAAAAAAACAAGCCTTGAAGACTGACAAATTGTCTTCCTAACGCTCCAATTTTCAATCCTGCCCAGTAGAATAACTCGGAAACTTGACGAAAAAATACATTTCCTGACTGCAAGCACACATTAAAACTAGATTTTAAGCCCTAAAATGTTCTTTGCCACACAAAAATGAGCCCAAGCTCCTGGAAAACTCGGGGATTATGTGAAATTTCACAGCATGAATGGACTAAACCTTCATCCTGCAGAATCTGAGCTTTTATTGACCAACAGCTGCCAGAAGGAAAAAGGACGGGAAATCACTTACAGGTTTTGACTGGATGAATCCGAGGCCGAGATACACAGATAGGTCATGTCCTGCAATACCAAATAAAATAACCATTAAATACCTCCAAGAATCACAAAATCCTCCATTTCTCCCTCTTTTTTTTTCCTTCCTCAGTTGGCCTTGAGGGGAGAAAAAAGCTGAAAACCACTTTGGGGTTTGCTGCACTGCCATGGACGGGTGCATCCATCCCACCCCATTGATTTCCTCTCAATCCCACGGGACAGGGCAGGCTGTGGGACCAACTAAAATATTCAGGAGCCCCCCAAAACAGAGCCAGGGAGCCCCAAACTCCATCAGGAAGACGTGCACTGACAAAGCCACTCTCATCAATGAGTTATTTCCTCCTCGTCCTTTTAATACCCCATAAATCATCTGCTGCCTGCTGGCCTGGGTCAGATTACTTTCCTCTCCTTAAAACATCGCTTCCTCGATCCTCCCTGTTTGGAGCTAAATTTAGATCTTTTTTATCTGAGGGTTGGGGTTTTTTTAATTTAATCTTTTCTTAGCAAAATTGAGGGGGAAATGCTGCAGCTAGAGCGCCAGGGATTGCCCCATCTCCAGCAGGTCCCTCCTGCCTCAGGCAGCCCAAACCCCTGGACCCCTCTCCAGCCCAGGAGGTTGGAAAAATTGGATTATTTAAGGAAGGAAGGGGCAGAGCAGGATGGGCACTGGGATAATTCCATGCTGGGATGACCCACAGGGTTTCCACACATCACCTCATCCATAGTTCCACGCCTGGTGCAATCCCAGTGTGCTCCCATGCTGGAAAGAGCCACCAGGCCAACAAATCCACTGTGGAGAAGCCAAAACTACCCCAAGCCACCCCAAATCCACTGTGGAGAAGCCAAAACAACCTCAAGGCACCCCAAATCTGTGGTGGAGAAGCCAAAACGACCTCAAGGCCAACAAATCCACTGTGGAGAAGCCAAAATTACCTCAAGGCACCCCAAATCCACCGTGGAAAAGCCAAAACTACCTCAAGGCACCCCAAATCTATTGTGGAGAAGCCAAAATTACCCCAAACCACCCCAAACCCTCATGGAGAAGCCAAAACTACCTCAAGCCACCCCAAATCCACCATGGAGAAGCCAAAACGACCTCAAGGCCAACAGATCCACCATGGAGAAGCCAAAACGACCTCAAGGCCAACAAATCCACCATGGAGGAGCCAAAACGACCTCAAGGCACCCCAAATCCATGGTGGAATATCCAAAACCACCTCAAGGCACCCCAAGGGCCGACCCACACCCCCAGACCGGGATTAACCCGGGGCTCCTCACGGGGCCACCACGGCCGCGGTGCCGGTGCCGGGTTTGCGGTCACGGCTTGGGGCCATGATTGACACATTGCAAAACCCCCCTGGGCCCTTCCGCTTCCCCCTGCGGGCTCTGCTCCGGGGTGTAAGTGTTCTGTGTGCTTTGCTCCATGGTGTAAGCATTCCAAGGGCTTTGCTCCAGGGTGTAAATGCTCTGTGCACTTTGCTTCATGGTGTAAGTGCTCCTGCGCTTTGCTCCGTGGTGTAAGCATTCCGAACGCTTTGCTCCACTGTGTAAGTGTTCCAAGAGCTTTTCTCTGTGGTGTAAGCACTCCGTGCACTTTGCTCGCCATTGTAAGTGCTCTGTGCACTTTGCTCTGTGGTGTAAACACTCTGTGTGCTTTGCTCCATAGTGTGAGCACCCCGAGCACTTTGCTCCATGGTGTAAGAACTCCGAGAGCTTTGCTCCATGGTGTAAGTGCTCCAAGCACTCTGCTCCATGGTGTAAGTGCTCCAACCATTTTGCTCCATGGTGTAAGCGCTCCAAGCGCTTTGCTCCATGGTGTAAGTGCTCCAAGCGCTTTGCTCCATGGTGTAAGTGCTCCAAGCGCTTTGCTCCATGGTGTAAGCGCTCCAAGCACAGCTGGGAAAACTGCTCTGGAGCCAGGCTGGGAGAGCTGGGAATGTTCCCCTGGAGAGGAGAAGCTCCAGGGGGAGCTCAGAGCCCTTCCAGGGCCTGAAGGGGCTCCAGGAGAGCTGGAGAGGGACTGGGGACAAGGATGGAGGGACGGGACACAGGGAATGGCTCCCACTGCCAGAGGATGCATTTAGATGGGATTTTGGGGAGAAATTGCTCCCTGGGAAGGTGGGCTGTAGCTGCCTCTGGATCCCTGGAATGCCCAAGGCCAGGTTGGACATTGGGGCTTGGAGCAGCCTGGGCTGGTGGGAGGTGTCCGTGTCCCCCACCGGGCATCCAGCACCCCACAGCCGCACCCCTCACTCCTCCTGGCACACGGAACCACGCGGGCAGGATTTGTGCAAGAGCGTCCCACACCTTTGCCACCACCTGCCTCAGTTTTCAGAGCCGTCCTGCCTCAGTTTCCCCACCCAGCATCCCGCAGCGCTGCGGGGATCAGCGAGGCCGGAGCGGGGACACCGAGCAGGCGGTGCCAGCTCCGCTCGCGGGTCCCCTCCGTGTCCCCTCCCCGCCGGGGCTCCATTCGTGGGGCGCCGCCGCCCTCTCGTGGGGACCCCCCGGTACCACCGGGCACCCGCTGCGGGTCCCGCCTGCCCCCCAAAAACCACCGAGAGATGCCCCCAGCACCCCCTCCCCAAATCCATCACTGAGCTCCTTTGGGCAGCATCGCCTGGCGTCAATCGGTGCAAATCGGTGCAAATCGGTGCAAATCGGTGCAAATCGGTGCAAACCCAGCATTGCTTCTCCCCAGCCCAGGAGAAGCTCCTGGATGTCCCTTCCCAGCTCCTGCTGCCCTGGGTGGTCCCCAGGTTCCCCAGCCAAGCACGCACCTCCAGCACCGGCGTGGCACCGGTGTGGATGGACAGGATGTGGGTCACCCCGTTCCTCAGCAGGTTCTCATGGTCCTCCGAGTCTGGAAACGGGAGCCAGGTGGGAATTACCTGCTCTGCTGGGACCCACCGGCCACCCCCCACCCCCTGACCCCCATTCCAGCCCTGCCTGCTGCCTCTCATCCCACACGGCGCAGGGAGGAGAATGGACTCCTCCTTCCAGGCAAAATCCCCCTGGGATGCACTGGGGACTCAGCAGGTTCCTAAAGCCATCCCCAAAAATCAGAAATTGCCCTGAGAACTCAGACAAAGCTGTTGTGTCCTTGCTGATGAGGAGGTTTTCAGAGATGCCATGAATTTCCAGCGTGGCTGGTGACCACAGCTCCCAGTGGACATCATCCCTTCCCTGGGCTGGACTGGGATCTCTGGGATGGGGATTTGGGGCAGCTCTGGAGCTCTGGATGATGCTGGGATTCCCAGCTGGGAGCACATGGAGTTGCCAAGGAGAGGAATGCTCCAGCCCTTCCAGCTGCCCAAGGGTCCCAAAGCACCACGGAGGGGCAGGGAAAGACACTCACCACGAATATTCCCCAGGTAGAGGCCGGTGACAATCTGGGAGGAGACAAAAAGGAGAGAGAATTCAGATGGCACCAGGAACGAGGTACATCTGATGTGGTGGGAATGAGCTCCAGCAGGACCAGGACACCTGGCACCAAACTCCCCGGGCCATGCCAAACCAAGCACCCAAATCCATGGATCATCTGCATAAACAGCCAGGAAAGGCTGAGCCAGGAGAGCAGAGCTCAGGAGAAACTCAGCACAGAAATGGGAGGAGTTTGGACGTGATCCTCTGGAGTTTCAAAGGTTGCATCTGCCAGCTGGGGATGGATGGATGCTATTTATAGCAGGATTTATATTTATTGCAGTTAAGAGATGTCAAGGCTGCAAATTTGGTCCCCAACTGGCTGCTGCGGGGTTATGAAGGAGAAAAGGGACAGTTGAGGGTCTTTAAGGGGTGTAAGAACCTGCCAGAGCATGTCCAGAGGCAAAGAAAGACAGAGCTGATCATCAGCTGGACTCGCTGGTGCTCATCTGGCAGCAGAGCCCTGCTTTGAGGAGTTTTAGGGTTTTCAACAACACTGGGTCACATCCAGCTGAGCCCCAGCCCACTCCTGGGTGCAAACTCGTGGATTCAGCACAGCACAAACCGTGAAGGGGAATGCAGAGCGCTGTATCTTATGGAGTCCAAAACTGGATCCTACAAAAGTGTCTGCACCAATCCAGCCCTTGGCAACGACAGCCTGGGCTCCCCAAAAGGGTTGGGTGGCACTGGGGGGCTGTAAAAGGCACTTTGCCTGTCAGGCTGAGGTCACAGGGGGTGAATCCCTGGTGTTAAACCACATCAGAGCCGTGCAGAGGGAGTTTGCCCTGATCTGATCCCTCTGTTGGTGTCTAATTTTAAACTGGAGGACTCACATTCCAAGTGGTCATTTAAGGACACCAACAGAAATCGATCCCCTCCTCCAGCCCTGGAGGAAAAAGCAGCACTGAAACCACACTTCCCCCACTGCTGGGGCACACCCCGAGGGTGGAAAAGGGGGAATTTCTCTGCAGAGACCCCTGTTATCCCTGAGGATGAAAATGCCAAGGTTTTACCACCCCAGGGATGAGCACTTAATGCCAGCTGTCACTTTTCTGACACCTGCAGACACTGAGCTCTTCACCTCGGTTATTAACCTTGGATTTAAATCCCTGTTTGTTTTCCTAACTCTGTTGAAGTGCTTAGAATTCCAAAGGGCTGTGGGAAAGGTGCAGAGAGCTGTATTTAGGGATCTGGGAAGGGCTGCAGAGGAAGAGAACGTGCTGGCCACCACCCCACTGTCCCCCTGTACCTTGCTCATTCCAGTCCCCATGGATTTTCTCTGCCCAGGATCAGGATTCCGGTGGCTCCTCAGTCTCCAGGGCTACCTGCAAACAAACACCCAAAATTCCAGGGAGGATGGTGAGATCTGACCCCCTGGAAGGGGGAAGGAAGGGAAAGAAGCCAGGAGGGGAGCAAGCAGAGCCCTGGCAAACTCAGCTCACCTGAGGCTGCTCCAGCGTGTCCCGCTGCTGCTCTGGAGAAAAGGGGAGCAGAGAGTGGCTGGTGCCAGGAAGGGGAGGATGAAATATGGATCTGGGATCGTGGCAAGGCTCGGGTTTCTCTCCTGGCCTTCCTGAGGTTCCACAGCTTTTTGGAAGGGCAGTCCCAGGAGGAAATCCCTTATCCCAGCAGCACTGAAACTCCAGTATTTGCTCCAAAACACCAATTTTCCAGGCACAATCCCCTGGCAGCTCCGTGTCCCTCACCTAGGTTGGTGCCACCAAGCTGCCAGAGGCAGGAGCTGTGCAAAAAGCAGGGAAAAACAGAATTCCAGCCATCACCAGCCTGGGATTGTCACCCTCATCCTTCTCAGCAGCCCAGAGATAAATTTATCACTTAAGGGATTTTTTCAGGCATAGGAAGAGGAGTTCGTTGCTTAATTCCCACCAGATTACCTCACCTTAAAATCCTTCCCAAAATTTTGAGTGGAAGGGAAAGAGGTGTCAGAATCAGCCCACCACAGCTCCTAAACCACATCATCAATTTCCTGATGGTTTCCTGTCCCATCAGGAAAAGAGCAAGCTTGGTTTAGGCTTCAGAAGGGCAGGGATCAGAGGGCCCAAAGATCTTGGGAATAAAAACCATGGATGTCCGTGTACTAGCACACAAGGAGCTGCATCACAACTCAGAAAAATTCCTGCATGGATCAGCTCTGCTCACAGAGACACCGGGAAAATCAGGGAGTAAGAGCTGTTAAAAACCTGCAGAGTCCAGCTCAGCTGAAGGGAGAATTTTGGCAGCAGCTTTCTTAGCCCTGAAAACATTAAGCCAGGCAGCAAATCCTGTTCATAAACCCAATGTCCCACCCCAAGAAACCCACTCAGAGACCAGCAACAGGCAGCTCTCAAGTTAACCAGACATTTATTAGCATTTCTGGAGGTGGAGAGGGTGTTCCAGTACAACAAGCAACGAGGTCACACACGGGTGATGGAATCATCTCATATTCAAGCAGAGCAGGTTCCACTGAGTTGCTTTATTTCTTCCATTCGTTCTTGTCAAAATCCCACTGGGCTGTGATGCCCTGCACGGGGTTCACCCTCATGTCCAACATCCTCTTGGTCTGAGCTGACACCCACTCGTCGGTGAAGGTGTGCGGGACGGGGCCGTACACTGCAGGATGGGAAGGGAATTAGGGAATTATGGAATTTCATCCTCATGCCGCCTCAGCAAGTTGGGAATTTTGGGCTAAGTTTTGCTAATAAAAGGTTTTTTTCCCCCTGAAGTCATCCCGCTGGAGCAGGGTGCCCTGAGAAGCTGTGGCTGCCCCAGCTCTGGAAGTGTCCAAGGCCAGGCTGGACGGGGTTTGGAGAAACCTGGGACAGTGGGAAGTGTCCTGGCCATGGATGGTGAAATGGATCTTCATGTGTGCGTCCCCATGTCCCTGTGTGTGTTCAGGATCTTTTCCATCTTCAGGATCCCTTCCAACCCCAACCAGCCTGTGAGTCTGTGATGTGTTCCAATCTCCACTCCCTGCCTGCAGTCTCTGCTGCATCCAGTTCAAACCACACTCCCACATGGATTCTCCAGTGGTTTCCTCCATCACCAACATAACAGCTTCCTGCTTGCCTATTTTTGGGAGCCTCAAGGCAAGGAGCAGCTCCTTTAACTGCTGCTCTGCCTCCTGGCAGCTGGAGGTTCCCTGGAGGTTGAATCCTTAGCTGGGAATGCGGCCAAACGTGGCAGAAACCCAAATGTTCACTACCCAGTGCAGCACAAGAGGGGAAACTCTGGAATCAGGAATCTCACCACTCACTCCCTCCCATTTCCCGTCCTCCCAAAGCTCCACTCCCTTTCTGTGAGTCAGCTTCCTGAATATTTCTGCTACATCCCCACCAGCTACAGCTCCAGGATGAAGTTTTCAGGCAGCTCCTGCTGGAAATCCCTGTTCTGGCTGTTCCATAAAGCATCCTGACCCCACAGAATTCCCATCAGGCACCTCCTGACCCTACTCTCCCATGGAAGAGTTACTTACTGAAGTTCTTCTGCCAGATGAGGATGACTCCAGTGAGACCAAGGAAGAACAGAACTCCCCCCAGGATGGTTTTCCACTCGTTTGTCCCTTTGTTCATCTCCGCATAGGTCTCATTGAATTTTATCCGATACACTGGGGGGGAAAAAAAAGTATCAAATCCTCTCTTTTAACTTTTCCTGGGATTTGCAGGTGACCAGGAACTCTGCAGAGGGAGGTGAACCAAGCCTGAGGCTGCCCAAAAGGGGATGGATGCTAAATTAGGTTTGGCACACACAAAAGCCAATCAGTTGTTTCACCCCCACATCACTTTTAGTCTCCATTTTACAGATTATCGTAAAGTTGGCCACAAGTTACAGTGTAGACCTAAAAGAAGGAAAACTGGGAGTTCTCCTTCCTCCCCTCCAATTCCCAGTGTGGTTATTGACCCCAAAGCTTCCAAGCACAAATAATCCCCACAGGAATGTTTTGAGCTCAAAAGGCTTCTCAGCTGCCACTGAAATCCACAGGAATTTAAAATCCAAAGCAACAGAAAATTTGGAGCAATTCCTCAAAAAGTTTTAAACCTTTCCCAGACCAGGCTCTCCCTTCCTACCATGAGAGCAGTTAGAAAAGATGAGGCAGATTTGTTTGCAAGTCAAAACACCCACGGGGAGACTTCATTAGCTGGAATTTGGTTCATGCCAAGGTCAGTGGTTATTAACATTCAAATCCAGGTTTGTGTTTGGGGCTCACTTCACCCAGCTGGACTAACAATGGACTGTTAATCTGAAGAGATTTTTTTTTCCTGGCTGGTTGAAAGCAGATGGGAATCAAGAAATAAATATTATTATTATTACTGTTATTGTTGTTATGTTTCTGGAAGAGGAAGGAATGGCTGAGTGTGACCTCAGATATGGAACAGAAGCCACAGCAGTGGCATTGCATGTTCTGTAAGAAGATCTTGGGAATAAAAACCATGGAGCACACAAGGAGCTCCACCATAATTAATAAAATTCCTTCATGGATCAGCTCTGCTCACAGACACTGGGAAAAACAAGGATGAAGGGCATTCCAAGCACGGCCTGGAACAAAAAGCTGTCTAAAGACTTCTGACAAGGGCTTGGAGTGCCAGGACAAGGGGAATGGCTTTGAGCTGAGTGGGTTTAGGTGGGATATTGGGAAGGAATTCCTGCTGGGAGGGTGGGCAGGCCTGGCACAGGTGCCCAGAGCAGCTGTGGCTGCCCCTGGATCCCTGGAATGTCCAAGGCCAGGCTTGGAGCAGCCCGGGATGGTGGAGCTCCATCTCCACGCTCCCTCCCCAGCCATGCAGGGAAGGTGGAAACCATGCAGAGCCCCCCAGACCTACGTTCCACTTTCTCCTCCACGGACAGGGCGCTCCAGGCCGCCTTCTCCTTCTCCTTGAGCGCGCGCTGCTGCGCCGACAGCTCCCGGACAAACGCCACCTCGGGCAGCGGCACGTCCCGCCGGTCCGCGTACACCGGCAGCGTGTACTCCTCCGCCTTCACCACGCCCGCTGCGGGACACGGGGGACACACGGGGACAGGGGGACACGGGGGACACGGGGTACACAGGGACAGGGGGACACACACGTGGGGAGGGACACCAGGACACACACGGGGACACACACACGGGGATGGACATGGGGACACGCACAGGGATAGGGGGACACGGGGGACATGGGGTACACAGGGACAGGGGGACACACACATGGGGATGGACACCGGGACACACACGGGGACACACACAGGGACACGGGGGACATGGGGACAGGGGGACACACATATGGGGACAGGGGCACAGGGAGACAGAGACATGGGGACACGGACACAGAGACACACACACAGGGACATGGGGACACAGGGACACACACAGGGACACAGGGACACAAACAGGGACATGGGGACACACACGGGGACATACACAGGGACATGGGGACACACATAGGGACACACACAGGGACATGGGGACACACACATGGGGACATGGGGACACACGCACAGGGACACAGGGACAGAGGGACACAGGGACACACACATGGATATGCACAGGGACATGGGGACACACACAGGGACACGGGGACACACACAGGGACACGGAGACACGCACAGGGATATGGGGACATGCATACACAGGGACGGGGGACACGCACGGTGACACAGGGACATGCACAGGGACACACACAGACATGGGGACACACACAGACATGGGGACACACACAGACATGGCCACACGGGGACACACACAGACAGGGACATGGAGACACACACACACAGGGACACACACAGGGACAGGGGGACACACACAGGGACACACACACAGGGATACACACAGGGACACGCAGAGGGAAATACACAGGGACATTGGGACACAAAGGGACACACACCCAGACACACAGACAGGGACACAGGGACACACAGGGACACACACAGGGACAGAGGGACAGAGGGAGACATGCACAGGGACAGACACATACGGGGACAGAGGGACACACACACACAGGGACAGAGGGACACAGGGACAGAGGGGGACACACACACACAGGGACAGAGGGACACAGGGACAGAGGGGGACACACACACACAGGGACAGAGGGACACAGGGACAGAGGGACACACACACACAGGGACAGAGGGACACCGGTCACAACCAGCTCTGACCGCTCACAATCAAACCCCAGCAGTGCAGGAGGAGGGAGAGTTTGGCAGAAATTCCCACAGCACAAACAGGAATTACAGAACGCTTTGGGAAGGACCTGAAAGATCCCCCCACTGCACCCCTGCCACGGGCAGGGACACCTGGACTTGGGCACTGCCAGGGCTCCAGGGGCAGCTGGGGGGGCTCAGGGACCCTCAGCCAGGAGGGGACAGCCAGGGGGTCCCAGGAACAGGGAACAGCCTCAGGGCAGGCTCAGGGTGGGCAGCAGCAGGAATTTCCCCATGGAAAGGGGGCTCAGGGATTGGAAGTGCCCAGGGAGGGTTGGAGTGCCCATCCCTGGGGGTGTCCCAGGAATCCCTGAGGGGGCACTCAGAGCTCGGGGATGGGGACAAGGTGGACTTGGTGACCTCGCAGCTCTTCTCCCAGCTGCATGATGCCACACCCGTGATTCCTGCCACCTCCCCAGCTGGTGGGATGGTTTTTACTCCCTCCATCCCAAGCCTGCCCACCCGTGGCAGCTCTGTGTGCTCCTCCCCTTCCCCAGCCCCGACCCACCGTGTCCGTGTGCCCCGAGGCACAGGGAGGTGGAGATGGATCTCCTGCCGACCAGGCTGAACACTCTGGAAGCCAACATCCTGCAGGGGCAGGCAGCAACAGTCAGTGACAAGGTGACATTAAGAACGTTTTCCACGAGTTTATATTAAAAGGAAAAATACAGCCTAGAGATTTCCTGCTCCTTCTGCAGAGGGCAGCACAGCCCTCCATGATTTAGTGGGAGATTTGGGATGAGCCTTTCTCTCGCTGTTTTTAACCCCAGCCTCCAGCACAGGAAGCAAAGGACATTCCCTTATTTAAACCACACTTCTAGGACGCTGTTATTCCAAAATAAACCATTCCTGGGCGGATTCCAGGAGCCCCAAGCGCATCCCGGAGCCACTGCAGCCACCCCAGGGCAGGGCGCGATCCCAGCCAAGGCATTCCCACCACACTGATTCCAGGGATTGCGACCCTCCGCTGACCCCAGCCCAGCCCAAAGCCGCCCAAACTCCCGCTGGCTGCCCCTGCCCTTGTCACCCCGACATGTCGCGACAGAACCGCGCAGGGGTAGGGTGGAACCCGCGGGAGGGGTCGCAGCGCTGCCCCCTCACGTTCACCCTCACAACCCGCGCTGCCCCGCCCGCCCGGCGGTGGATGGGGATGGCGGAGGGGCTCGGTTCTCGCTCCCGGCCCGCTCCCGGCCCGTGCCCGCGCCCCGCCCGCCCGGCGGTGGATGGGGATGGCGGAGGGGCTCGGTTCTCGCTCCCGGCCCGCTCCCGGCCCCGCTCGCCCGGCGCGGCCTCACGACCTGGCGACCGTCCTCTACGGTGGCGGCACCGGAAGGAGCCGGGCCGGAAGTGCGGGGCAGCGAGAGCGCCGGGCCGGAGCGCCCCCCCCCCCCCCCGCGCGCAGGGGCTGATGGGATGCGGGAGGACCGCCGCTGGAGGTCTGTCCCGCATTCCCAAAATCCCGGGAATTGTTAAAGGTGGGAAAGAGCTCCGGGATCAGCGAGAGTGACCCTGTGACCCCACTGTGCCCCCAGCACAGAGCACCGCCTCAGGGATTCCTGGGATACCTCCCGGGATGGGCACTCCAACCCGCCCTGGGCACTTCCAATCCCTGAGACCCCCAAACCCACCCCAAACCCACACAAACCCCCCCAAACCCACCCCAAACCCACCCCAAACTCACCCCAACCCACACAAACCCCCCCAAACCCAACCCAAACCCATCCCAGACCCCCACACCCACCTCACACCCACTCCAAACCGCCCAAACCCATCCCAGACCCATGCCAATAAGCACCCCAAATCCACCCCACCAACTTTGGGATCCTCCCGCATTGTGGGACCCCACACCCACCCCAAATCCCTCCAAACCCCCCTCTAAACCACCCCAAACCCACCCCACACTCCCGAAACCCCCCCAAACCCACTGAAACCCACCAAACCCACCCCACACCCACCCCAATAACCACCCCAAACCCACCCCACCGATTTTGGGACCCTCCCTCATTGTGGGACCCCAAACCCACCCTAAACCCCTCCAAACCCGCCCCATACCCATCCCACACTCCCTAAAGCCCTCCAACCCCCCCCAAACCCACCCCTGACCCACCCCAATAACTACCCCAAATCTACCCCACCCATCCCACCAACTTTTGGACCCTCCCTCATTGTGGGACCCAAAACATACCCCAAACCCCCCCAAAACCTCCCCAAACTTCCCCAAACCCACCCAAGCCCACCCCAAACCACCCCAAATCCCCCCCAAACCCACCCCAAACCCACCCCTGACCCACCCCAATAACCACCCCAAATCCACCCCATCCATCCCACCAACTTTTGGACCCTCCCTCATTGTGGGACCCCAAACCCACCCTAAACCCCCCCAAAACCTCCCCACACCCATCCCACACTCCCCAAAGGCCCCCAAACCCCCCCAAAACCACCCCACACCCACCTCAATAACCACCCCAAATCCACCCCACTGACTTTGGGACCCTCCTGCATTGTGGGACCCCAAACACACCCCAAACCCCCTCAAACATCCCCAAACTTCCCCAAACCCACCCCACACCCACCCCAAACACTCCTAAACACCCCCAAACCCACCCAAGCCCACCCCAAACCCCCCCAAACCCACCCCTGACCCACCCCAATAACCACCCCAAATCCACCCCATCCATCCCACCAACTTTTGGACCCTCCCTCATTGTGGGACCCCAAACCACCCCCAAAAACCATCCCAAATTCACCCCCACACACACCCCACACTCCTGAAACCCCCCCAAACCCACTGAAACCCACCAAACCCACCCCACACCCACCCCAATAACCACCCCAAATCCACCCCACCGATTTTGGGATCCTCCCGCATTGTGGGACCCCAAACCCACCCCAAACCCCTCCAAACCCGCCCCACACCCATCCCACACTCCCCAAGGCCCCCAAACCCCCCCAAAACCACCCCAATAACCACCCCAAATCCACCCCACTGACTTTGGGACCATCCCGCATTGTGGGACCCCAAACACACCCCAAACCCCCCCAAAACCTCCCCAAACTTCCCCAAACCCGCCCCACACCCACCCCAAACACCCCCAAACCCACCCCTGACCCACCCCAATAACCACCCCAAATCCACCCCACCCATCCCACCGACTTTTGGACCCTCCCGCATTGTGGGACCCCAAACCCCCCCCAAACCACCCCCAAAAACCATCCCAAATTCACCCCCCCACACCCCCCACACTCCCGAACCCCCCCCAAACCCACTGAAACCCACCAAACCCACCAAACCCACCCCAATAACCACCCCAAACCCACCCCACCGATTTTGGGATCCTCCGTAATTGTGGGACCCTAAACCCACCCCAAACCACCCCACACTCACCCCAAACCCACCCCAAACCCCTTCAAACCCACCCCACACCCATCCCACACTCCCCAATGCCCCCCCAACCCCCCCAAAACCACCCCACACCCATCCCAATAACTACCCCAAATCCACCCCATCCACCCCACTGACTTTGGGACCCTCCTGCATTGTGGGACCCCAAACACACCCCAAACCCCCTCAAACCTCCTCAAATCCCCCCAAAACCTCCCCAAACTTCCCCAAACCCACCCCACACCCACCCCAAACACCCGTAAACCTCCCCAAACCCCCCCAAGCCCATCCCAAACCCTCCCACACCCACCCCAATAAGCACCCCAAATCCACCCCACCGATTTTGGGATCCTCCCTAATTGTGGGACCCCAAACACACCCCAAACCCCTCCAAACCCACTCCACACCCATCCCACACTCCCTAAAGCCCTCCAAACCCCCCCCAAAACCACCCCACACCCACCCCAATAACTACCCCAAATCCACCCCACTGACTTTGGGACCCTCCCGCATTGTGGGACCCCAAACACACCCCAAACCCCCTCAAACCTCCCCAATTCCCCTCAAAACCTCCCCAAACTCACCCCAAACCCACCCCACACCAACCCCAAACCCCCCCAAGCCCATCCCAAACACCCCTAAACCCCCCCAAACCCACCCAAGCCCATCCCAAACCCACCCCACCCATCCCACCAACTTTTGGACCCTCCCTCATTGTGGGACCCCAAACCCCCCCCAAACCACCCCCAAAAACCATCCCAAATTCACCCCCACACACCCCGCTGTCGCAAAGCCGGCCGCGCTTGGCGGCACTTCGCGACACCGGCGGCGCTTGGCGGCAGGGCCGCGCCGGGACCGAACCGTGCCGGGACAGCGGGGCCGAACCGGGACACCGGGAGCACACCGGGACACCGGCCACCATGAAGCTGACCACTCAGGCTTACTGCAAGATGCTGCTGCACGGCGCCAAGTACCCGCACTGCGCCGTTAACGGGCTGCTGGTGGCGGAGCGGCCGCCGGCGCCGCAGCCCGCGCTGCTGGTGGATTGCATCCCGCTGTTCCACGGCACGCTGGCGCTCGCCCCCATGCTGGAGGTGGCGCTGACCCTGGTACGGAGCTGCCCGGGGATCAGGGATGTTGGCTGGGGGTTTTTTTGGGGGGTGCAGGGAGGTGCTGTTGCCGGGATGAGATGCTGGCAGGGGGTTTTGGGGGTGCAGGGAGGTGCTGCCCCGGGGATCAGGGATGAGGGATGCTGGTTGGGGTTTTTGGGGGGTGCAGGGAGGTGTTAGCGAGGGGGTCAGGGATGCTGGCAGTGTTTTTTGGGGGTGCAGGGAGGTGTTAGCGAGGGGATCAGGGATGCTGGCAGTGTTTTTTTGGGGTGCAGGGAGATGTTGTTGTGGGGATGAGGGATGCCATGGCAAAGGGTTTTTGGGGGTGCAGGGAGGTTTTGCCCCGGGGATCAGGGATCAGGGATGCTGCCAGGGGGATTTTTTAGGGGGTGCAGGGAGGTTTTGTCCCTGGGGATGTGATGCTGGCAGGGGTTTTTTTGGGGGTGCAGGAAGGTGTTGGGCAGTGCTGGGGATGGAAATGCTCCAAAAATTGGGAGAGCTGGGGGTGCTCACCTGGAGAGGAGAAGCTCCAGGGAGAGCTCAGAGCCCTGCCAGGGCCTGAAGGGGCTCCAGGAGAGCTGCAGAGGGACTGGGGACAAGGATGGAGGGACAGGACACAGGGAATGGCTCCCACTGCCAGAGGGTGCATTTAGATGGGATTTTGGGAAGGAATTCCTCCCTGGGAGGGTGCTGAGACCCTGGCACACGTGCCCAGAGGTGCTGTGGCTGCCCCTGGATCCCTGGCAGTGCCCAAGCCAGGCTGGGAGCACCCTGGGACGTTGGAAGGTGTCCCTCCATGCAATGGGATGATTTTAAGATCCTTTCCCACCCAAACCATTCAGGGATTCTTTTTTCCAAGTGCTTCAGGTCGAGTGGATGAGGTAAAAAGTTGGGAGTTAAAACATCCAAGCAGGGAAATGCCAAATCTCTAAATTTTGGTGGACAGGGAGGAAAAAAGTTAATCCTGGAAGTTTAATTGCTAACAAACCAAAAAGAGTAAGACACATTCCCAGTGCTGCCTTCCCAGCTCTCAGCAAGAGATGAGCTCCCCAAGATTTCCTCCCCCTGTTGTTTGAAAAGGAATTACCTGGAATTCCTGCCCTGGATCCAGCAGATTTTCAGCCAGGGAAGCAGCATTTGCTCTGGGCACATCAGCAGGAAAGGGGAGCACAGCCTTCCCTGGGGAAAACCAGACACTGGCAGTGCCCAGGGCCAGGCTGGACCGAGCTTGGAGCAGCCTGGGATGGTGGAAGATGGAATGGGATGAGCCAAAATCCCCTCCAAGCCAAACCATCCCATCATGGTGAGCAAAAGAAAATCCATCCCTTCCTGATACCCTTAAAACCAGCACATTTCTGCTTCCTCCAGACTTGTCTTTAATGTTTCCCTCAGTGTTTTTCATCCCAGTAAAGATTTTATTTGGAAGCAAATCCCAGTTATTCCTAAATAAATTCCAGGTTTTCCCCAGCTGTGGCAATGCTGACATCTTTGTAGAGCCTGGAAATGATGAAATGCAGCCAGAGGCACAGGGCAGGAGCTGAGCCTGAGCCCTGACCAGTTCGTTTTACCATAAACCACCCAAAATTTATCATTTTAAATCTATTTGCAGCAGTGTAGGAGTAGCAGAGCGCTGTGTGCTTTCATTAAATCACAATTAAATGTCTTTCCACTGAATTTTGGTGAACTTTAGGCCTTCAGTGCAGCTTTTTAGTGTAGATCTTGGAGCAGGATCAGATTATTAGGAAATAAATCCTGTTTCTTGCAACATCTGAAGGAAGAAAATTATCCCAGAGCTGAAGGAATGGCACGATTTTATTTATTTACTCCCAGTTTTTGG